CAGACTAAACGCAACAGTCGTCCAACGATTAGTAAAACGGTACGACTTAATGGGAAGGCGCCATCAGTCATCAATATTTTGTTTTTTACACTTACATTCACATTTATCTAGGTTAGATTAAATAAATAGTCAACAAATTCTTCGATTTAGCTGGTAAATACTGTTTTAAGACGAATCGTTTTCAAATATTGTGTGTGCTATTTTGATAACAAAATTAATTTTGAAATATTTTTGTTTTATACCAAATGACGGGATGAACAGATCATGCGCGTCTGGTGGTATGCGACTCGCCCGTCACCTAGAGACATAAGTTAACAAGTTCCATGTGACTGTAATTTACTCTTACCCTTCAACACCGAAACGCAGTGATGTTCACATTATTGCTTGGCGACAGAAATTAGTAGCAGTATGTCCCTGGACGAACTCTTTCACAAGGAGCTCTACTACTAAACCCATTGTAGGTCCTATTAATATCCAACTAATTGATTTGGAGCATCCCATGTACTTATAGATCACAGATAGGAAAATTACCTAATAACGTTATGATGTTGTGGAACGAAGTCGAAGCATATGTAATCCTTTTGACAACCATCAACAGTTAGACGCGCCATCATCACTCTGCTGTCACGTTGTTCTCTGAAATTGTATAAGATTATGTTTACTGCAAAATTGTCTTTCACTTCAATTTCTCTTTCACTTCTGATTTTATTATTAAATTAAATGTACATATTAATTATAATAAATTGATTCGGACATTTGGATCCATAGCGTATTTTTTATAACATCAAGTGACGGGATGAACAATTTGTGCGCCTGATGGTAAGCTACACGCCTGTCCATAACAGTTGCAGTGCCACTCAGAACTTTAAATCGCAAAGATCTGAGGGGAACTGCCACTGCGCCTGTCACCCTGAGACATTAGTTGACAAGTCCCATGTGTCTGTAATTTCACCAGCAGCCTTACCCTATAAAACCGGAACACAGTAATGCTGACATTATTATTTGGCGGCAGAAATAAGTAACAATATAGCCTAAAATTTGTGTTATTTACAATTTATTATATAGAAATGAAACTATTTTGCCATTGACGACATTCCGGTAGCCTAGCGCTTAGTACTTAGGCGCTTGATGAGGAGATCGCGGGTTCGCTTTCCGGTAAAAACAATTAGTCCTACAATTGATTTAGGAAACAATCTTTATCAAAATTGCTTCTAGTCTGAGTGCTGATTACATGTACAAGTCAAAGACTTTTGAAGTGGTATTGTCATAGTCGTGTTTACGATACAGCCGACCCGTGGCAAGCGATGCAGGCGCATAGAAGAGTACCTACGTAAAAACTATTAAGTAGTGTGCTTATATGATTTCATTGGCACACTCTTGTGACCTTCGTTGTCAATTGCTATTATGCCGCGCACTAACAAATGACATAAGATCAACTCTGTAAATGAGTCCCACAGTAGGGAGTTTTCTTGACAAAGTGCACTCTTGTTACCTCACCTGCAAACATAGATAGTACGCCTAAACCGCCCTTCGTCGGGGTAGTAGGTCTCGATGATGTGCGTTTCGTTGATGAACACGTCAGCGTCGATATTGGCTGTGTTGATCCAGTCACCAGAGAAGTTTTTCGGGAGACGGCATCCCGGTTCTACTACTTCCGCCTGTAGCGAGTGATTTGATTAATTACTTACATAATTTCATGAATAATAATCAAATATATAGGCAGAGTATATTCAGTGCAGTGCGGTGCGCGCCTGGATACGGACGCGCTCCACTGTGCAGTGAGAATTATAACTAGGGATTCGCGTGGCATATGCCGCGGCGTATATGTGGTAATAGGTTTCCAACAATCATAGCCAACGAGCTTTTTTACCATGGACGAAGTCAGCATATTATAAATTGAAATCAAAATATTTACATACCTTTACAGCAGTGACTCGATATCTTTCGGGTGACTTCTCGACAGTTTTCAAAGTATTGCATTCAGGTGTAATAGACGCACCGACATACAGATCGTCATCTCTGTTCTTCAGGAAGCAACGGTACCTCTCGTCTTTACGCGATTCTTTGGTATTCGCGACAGCGAAGAAATGATTCTTGTCGACGAACCAGTGACCTGGCGAAAATGTTAGCAATATTTACAACTTTTAAAAAAAGACTGACCATAATTTGTCAATGCTTGATAATTTATGAACCCTGAAATGGTGATGCTAGTACGGGACTGGGGGTTTACACTACATACGCCTTTTAAAAGAAGTAAAAACATATACTATGACCACAGAAAACAACTTATGCTGTCACTTTTACATTTATTAGTTTTATGCAACTGCAGATTTTATTATTTAATATATTATGGTACAAAGTTCAGTTTTTTTTATATGTATATTTCATTTACGTTTTAGTGCGGGAATACACGTCCGATTTTTCCATCTGATAGTCTGATCCGACTACTGGAAGGCGCTCGTACCATATAATTGTATGAACACTTAACACACATCCGATCCGACGTTTTCCGACGATTAAGTGACTTTTTTGAAAAAAATTTGGAAAATTTTTGGAATAATTTGCATTGGCGACGCTGCAAATCGGAGGGAAGACTCGGACGTGTATTTCGTCTCCACACAAAAGTATAGAGAGCGCGCCTTCAGACAATCGGATCGGCAATAAAATTCGACGCTATTTCCGACTCGGATGCCACGTCACGTCCGATCCGATTATCGAATCAGACGCGACGTGAAGTGTTCATACAATTGTATGTTACGAGCGCCTTCCGTTAGTCGGATCAGACTATCGGATTAATCTGTAGTTTCTGCTTAACTCACACAATAGCACAGGCATGATAATGATAATTACTTACCCAAACAACTGTATTCCACAGTACCATCAAATGTTCCAGACATTCCAGGACATTTGCGATATGTAATATTAAACTTTTGATTGGTTATCAAGAACTGAGTTCCAGCTGTCTGACAGGACTTTATCTGAGCGTCAGGGTGGTTACATTCACCCGTGAAACGAAAACGGTTCTGATAAGCAAACTGCCAGACACCTTCTAAAGATGAACGACAATTGACCTGAAAATAGTATTTATATTATGTCAAGTGGTTTGTTCTTTTTTTTTAATAATATCAACTAACAGGACGGACAAGTCCATGTTGTTTGTAGGTTTACTTCTTTTTAACTTTCTTAAAACAATTTACCTAGTAGAAATACATTATTGCCTCCAAAGCTCATCAGCTTTCCCACAAGCTTTAGGGATGAATTGTAAAATTAAAATATTTCTTTCAAACTTTTCCTTGAAGTTTTCTCAAAATACAAATTCATACAGGTAGTTTTTCTTTTTTATAAGAAACTTACAGGAACCGAGTTCTCAGAAAATAAAGTGATCAAATGCTGATCAGGTCTTAGACCGCGGCAGACTCTTTCTACAGTAGGCTCTTCGTCGGGTGCCAGGTCCACACACGGGGTCTCCAGTTTCTCCAATACATTCACTGTACGGACTATGAGCTTTACACAGTAGTAACAGTTGGTGTACTGAAATACCATTGTGTAATTCACATGGTAATCTGCCTTTATATTGATGCATGTACCCCTAGAAAAAATATTGTGTGATACAAATCGAGAACAGGGTGACGGCGATAAGCGGGGAAGGATATCCTGAGCTGCTGCCTTACCATGAGCTCTTATTACAGTTTAGTATAGGTTCGTAATAAAAAAGCGGGATGGTGAAATACTCTTCATGTGGCGCTATCTCACAATGACTCATTTTATATCCTAAACGGAATCATAATAAGACTTCATGGTAAGGCCGCTGAGGGTTTTGACTTTTGACTGTTTCCTCCCAAAGTTGCTTGTTATATCTGTATGTGTATGTGTTCCTATGAACTTGGTGCACATTAGTGCTCAATAAAATCATGAGTAATTTCATGGAAAACGTGGTGTGGTGATGATAAATGGGAATTGTTTTTCAGCTACCTACTAATAAGGACTTTTCATACACCTTTGTGGCAGCTTATAGAGATAAGTAAAAGATAAATACAGAGATATTTGACATTTTAATTCTAAAAGAAAAAGCACGTATTTTATTTTCTCAATAAAGTTATTAAAATTTGGATGCACAAAATCTTAATAACAAAATTATTTTAAGATTACTTCATATTATATGAAGTAATCTTATAATAATTTTGCCTCATGTATAAACTAACATTGTTGTAATATACAGTAGTAGACAATTTACGAGGTCCGTGTCAAGCAGCGGGATATGTAAAAGTTGACACAACAGGTCAAAGTATATTTAAAAAGGAAGTAAACCAGATATAAGGGTCCTAAATGCTTGAATGTAGTTACGTTTTGCATCATCATTTTTTTCAAAGTTTGCAAATAATATCTATTATATTTTCCACAAACTTAACATAAAAACACTTACTTCCCAGTCATTTCACTAGCATTGATATCGGTGATGGTCTGTCTACCATTCTCAAAAGAGAACCATGTGTTCCTTAATACTATTGGAATATTACATTCCGCCGTTAACGAAGAAACTGTAAGAAATCAAACAAAACATGAAACTTGGGCGTTACCACTTTATAATATTGTGGCCAAAATGTGTGATACTAACAAATAAAATACTATACTTACAGTTTAAAATAAATACATATATCACAGGTAGCAATTTTAGTGCGACAACCATTTTATTCTTATTTGAAATTCATGGAAATTAGAATTTAAAGTATACAAAACCCACTGCCATCGGCCAATGCCATAGATTATGCCAGCCAACAATTCAGACTAATTCATTCTGAGTGTTTGACCGTGATGAATGAATCAATCTTTCTAATTTGTGGAATGAATGGTAAGTCGCATGACTAATGATGAAGTAAACAAAAAATAGAGTTGAGCTGAAGAATGAATTTGATTGTGATCGAGAAAATGTCAAGCTGACATTTGGCATAGATCATACACTCTATATTTGTGACATTTGGTTTGAAGATTTTGTACTAGGGACACGCATGATGATTAAGAATAATATATCGATACATGTAGTTTCGATAATATAAACAGACAATTACTGTCAAATAAATAATATTCGACCAAATTAAAAGACAATGTCAAGTACGAAGCTTCATTACCATCATGCGTTTTTTAATTTTGTCGAATATTACTTAAATGTCCGACGGAGAACGAGAATCAGGGCCAGTACCGATATTTATGCACATAAGTATATCGATTATTAAATCAATCAATATTATCAATATTATTCCCAAAGGCAATAGTCACCTAAAAATATTCCCAAAATATGAATATGAAGGATTATTTAAAATTAAAATTAAAGTAATTCATTAAAAAATGAAAGACACGTGTTGAAGCTATAAAAAAAATATTTTTTATTAACTGCCAGGTAAAGTACAGCTGTGCCTGTGGTCGACTACTGCAAGATGCGTTGGAAAAACAGTCAACCACCATGTTAAATGGGCTAGAAGGCTCCGCGAAGACGAATGGGAGATATGTTTTAGATGTTGTGTTCGTATAGGTATTTATTTATTTTATCCTACAAAGTACGCTCAACAATCTATATATATACGTCAAAACTTGGCTACTTATGAGCGCCGTACGGGCGGAGGCCGAGCGTTACGAAACACGGGAACACTAAAATCCGTTGCCCACCGTACCGAACTTGCAACTAGAAATCCGCGGGTAATAGGTCCCCGATTCTACGAACATCTACCCACAGACCTGAAAAGTGTTAGAAACGTAACACTTTTCAGTAACACGTAACACGTTTCATCGAAACGTTTTGTACCCGACTAAAAATCCTTTTATGGATATTGAATTGTACAGTGTCGATGAGTTTCTTTTGAAACAACTTTAATTTTATTTTATTTGACAAGCAGTAGTTATACTACTTTATTTTATATTCATTATTATTGTTATAATTTTATTACTGACGATCATAGTTATCCCTTGACATTGTATTTCCAATTGTAATATTGTGACATTGATAACATGAAATAAACGATTCTATTCTATTCTATTCTATAAAACACAGACTCCGATAAAAATATCTGTTTTTGATAAATTGAAATTAAAAACATCGACGATAAATATCGATTATTACATAAAAAATATCGATATTTTGAAATATAGATATTTTTACAAGCCTATTTATTGCCCTGTGCTGTGATTGCTGGCGGCTGGCAGTAGAATACAACCGCGTCGTCGTTGTTTTACATTAATTAAACAAAAAGTATGTACCTAACGATTAATAATAAAAAATTTCAAAGTATATAATTTCTTGCGCATTCTATAACTTAAATCAATATTGAATTGGTTAAATGCATTTGTATCGAATTCGATAACTATCGATCGTTTGGTTTACAGCTATGGGCCGACGAAAATCGAAAAGAAAGCCGCCACCGAAGCGAAAGGCTATTGAAGCACTAGATCAGCAGTTCAACTGTCCCTTCTGTAACCATGAAAAATCGTGTGAAGTCAAAATGTAAGTCATTTCATTCTACTTATACTATAAGAACCAGAGTATACATTTTACCTATCATTATAATCTGCTTGTTTAATATGTTGTAATATAAATTTCACCAACTCCGCGGAAACATCGTAAATTGCAAGTAAATAGTAATAACCTTTGGTTTCTTTCCTGTGTGAAAGCATTGACTAGGGAAAAGTTTTATTTTTTTAGTAGTGCCTCTTGTGGTCTCAAACTACTACAATTATTTATATAGCAGCAGTGACATAATGTGGTAATGTATATTATGGCAATATCGTTGCTGCACGTACAATACTGCTGAACAGCACTTTGTAAATACTGCCTAACAGCGTTTTCACAATTATACAGGAGGAATAAAAAACTTTATATCTTAGCTATTGAACTGTATTTTACTGACTGAACTCTGGAGCTACTTCTTTGTGATTCACTTTGTAGAAAAATAATGTAAGTTTACCCATAACTTGTTTAGATTAAAGTCAGTAACATGCTTTTGTAGTCACAAATTACAGAAAAAGTAGTATACTGCTAGTAGGTGCGCTGGATTGAAATGAAACATTTTATTAAAGGTTTGATTTTATTATGGCTAAAGAGCAAAAGTGACAGAAAGTAAGGAGGCTTTTGCCCTTCTCTGGGATAATACAGGGTCATAATAATAATAAATTAACAAAAAAGGTTCTAAAACAAACATCTTCTTAGACCAAAAAAGTATTATCAGATAAACAATAAATTGTTACTGTTTGTAGTCAAATATATAGAAATCAAGTCATAAAATAAATTTTAAAAAAAAGTCAAATAAGTAAGTCAACAAGAAGGTAAGTTCTTGGGATTAAAATGTTATTAAATTTTGTAGTTTGAAAATATTTGCAATTGACAATAACAAAAAAAAACAGTCTCATAAGTTCTCTGAAAATCACAGCAGCTTAATCTTGTTAAATATCTTGCACAAATATAATTAAAAGGTAGTGTCTTGTTCTGTAGCCACGCCACCCTATTTTTTTTTATTATGATATTACTTACTATAATCTTAGAGGCTGGTGTGCCTTATTTCAGGAGACTCGTCGAGCTGCGATCATGTTGTAGTCGACATTTTGTGTTTGGTATGGAGTGTTACATACCATACTCTGATGTACCAAATGGAACCCCAAGCTCGTCCATGGTTTAATGCTAATTATAGTTGTGCTGAAGCACGTAAACAGTCCGCGTACCAAGCTTGGGCAGATGCTCGACTACGCAAAGCTCCGAGTACTCAGAATTTGAAGAAAGCTTTTAATAAGGCCGCCAAGAAGTGCAAATGTGTGTTACGTAGGGCTAAGTTCGACCATGTGCGCCGCATAACGGCCAAACTTGCCTCTTATCCAGCAGGCAGCAAATCCTTTTGGTCCCTGGCCAAAGCGGTCGAATGTAACTTTTGTCGCTTATCTTTGTCACCTCTGCTGAGGCCGGATGGGTCGCTGGCTCATTCTGCGGAAGAGAAGGCGAATCTTATTGCCTCACTCTTTGCAGAGAGTTCGCGCTTAGATGCCGCAGGGAACCTACCACCTACTTTACCTCAGGCTAACTGCACTATGTCGTCAGTTCGCATACGTCAAAAAGAGATACTTAGAACTCTGCGAAATCTAGACATAAATAAAGCTTTCGGGCCAGACGGAATTCCAGCAATAGTTCTGCGTAACTGTGCGCCTGAGTTGTCCCCTGTTCTCACACGCCTGTACCGCCTCTCACTTGAGACTGGTGTAGTTCCCAGGTGGTGGAAGCTTGTAAACGTGCAACCTGTGCCGAAAAAGGGAAGCAGAGCTGACCCTGTCAACTATAGACCTATCTCAGTCACTTCCATACTCTGCAAGACTATGGAACGTGTACTCAACAACCGTCTCCTGTCGTACCTTGAAGACAACGACCTTCTTAGTGACCACCAGTACGGATTCCCACGAGGGCGATCTACTGGGGATTTTCTTGTGTATGCCTGTCACATATGGAGCGAGGCTATAGAAAAGCAAGGCGAGGCACTTGCAGTGTCTTTAGACATTTCTAAAGCCTTTGACAGGGTCTGGCACGCAAGCCTTTTAAGTAAGCTTCCCTCTTATGGGTTTCCCACTGACCTTTGTAATTGGACCTGGGGTTTCTTGAGTGAACGTACGATTCGAGTGGTCTTAGAAGGGTACTCTTCCGAACATACGGCGATAGATATAGAGTTCTTCACAGTTCCGTACTGTCTGCAACTCTCTTTCTGCTGCATATCAATGATATGTTAATTCCTTTGCGTACTTCAGGCAGCCTCCGATTGGGGCGATGCCAATCTTGTCAAATTTAACGATTCTCAAAAAAACGGAGTTCCTTTGAGCTGATTCCGAATTTTCGTGATATATTCATACCGATGCCCGACTGTCTCCATTTATTTTCCTTTTTATTATTAACTTTCAAATAATAAATTTTAACATTACTACGTCTTGATGAATTCGATCTCTTAGTTCTCCTAGTCGTGGGTTTCGTGCAGAGATCGTGTTAAAATTTCTTCATTAATTTGGTAAATACACAGACTTGCGGCCAATTTCAGCAATGCTACTGTTTCGCGGTATTGTTTCAATGGCAAAAATGAGGTTTCTTAGAGGCTAATTCAAATTATGTGAGATCTAGATTAAACGAGTTAGCGTTAAGGATCTGTTGATGCGATATTTCAATTTTGTACCTTTTGCTGTTACGCGGTATTTACCACCTGCTCTTCCGCGGTTTTGCACGCGCAGTAACGATATGTTAATCCGACATATTATGTTAATGGCAATAAAATGGTTTCAGGGACCGAGCAAGAAACACAGCAAGAATACAATGTAGAGTATGCTTAGAAGAGTTTCAAACAACAACAAATGTGTTATCAGAACCTATAGATGTCTACAATGACTGGGTGGACGCCTGTGAGAATGCTAATTGATGTTGGCTAACTTAGTTTAGGTACTTAATTTATAAGTTGACTAATCTCTTTATGTGTGATAGGTTTATGATTGAATAAATAAGAATGAACACGAAAAAAAATTGAATACTGTGTTTAATCTTCTTTATTTTTACTGAGCATGCCAATTGTTAGTTCCAATAATGTTAAATGGTGCAGGAACTAACTGAATAAAAAATAATTAACTTTCTTGATCAGTTTTATTTTTTAACAGATAACTGGCTTACAAGCATAATCATTAGTGGCCATGAACGTTTATAACAGTAACACAACAATTATGTCAAAGGCTAACTTCCACAAACTTCCACTTTGTACATACAAAAAACATGTATGTACCATAGGTACATGGAACAAATCAATAGTAAAGGTCTATTCAGATATAACCTATAGTATAATATAATATAATATTCGCTACTGGTGTAACGAAAAATACCGCGCGGTATACTGCCGGGTACTGCTGAAGCGAAGCCGAGATACCGCGCCATACCACCCGGCGGTAACTTTTTACTTGCTTTGCGAAGTAAATTTCACCGGACGGCGCGGCACTCCGCATACTTTGCAAGTCGGTGACGATTACTTGACATAATAGGAGTAATTTGAATTGATTACAGGTTACGCATGGATATAGTGTAGGCTTATTCACTAACGACAGGCTTATTCAGTTAGCGAATAACGCGTATATCTAAACAAGGCTTAATTTCAACTATTATTATCAAACATGTTGGCTGACAAAAAAGAGGTTGATTTCTGAATCGAGTTCTGTCTTAACAGTTTTGCAGGTAATCACAATTACCTGTACGTCTGGCGCACCCTAGGCAACAATCGGCGAGTACCTTACGCCGATTGGTAAATCCCTTTACCACGACGGCAAGCATTATAATAGTGTAATACCATACTTTCCCAAAATAGCCCCTGCCCAGTGGGCGCTGCAGTGTCCTAGGGGGCCTCGGAAGCAACTGGTGAGCGTTAATGTTGTCCACGGGGTACTACCGCATTTGAAAAAATCCTTAATTATCGATATAATCTACACTACAATGTTACTTTTTCATTGTGATTTTTTGTTATGTTTATATAAAAAAAACGTGTTTTCAATTATTTTTTGTGGAGGTGGGCGTTGAAATTTTTTTATCTTGCCAAAGTAGACGGTAAAAAGCTTGGGAATCTATGGTGCATACTATCAATCCAAATGATACTTGTGAGCAAAGTCAACCATTGTATACGAGGTTTCTAAGATTTCAGCCGTGAAGCTAGCCATTGACTTGCAACAGATGGTCACACAGTTATTTCTTTACCTGCATATGTGACCAGACATTATAGTTACTGTTACATAGGGCTTGACTTTATTAAATCAATCAGAGGTAATGTAACCGTCGAATAAACTTTTTTGAAGTTAAAAATGTAGTCTGTAAATTAAGTTATTCTAGACAACGACAGTGTAACACATTTACGTGCGTCAAATACATAAACGGAGATTTGCATGATCAAAGATCATTAAGTCGGTAAACATGTTCGACAGACTAGATCCACATGTATAAAAACAGTTTTCTTGGCCACAAATGGCCATACAACTTTTCCTTGTCAACAAATACACAATACATACATTTACAGAGGTCGAAATAGAATTTAAATGTCCAACTACTATTCAACTAGTTGTCCTAAAAGCAAGACAAGACGAGCTTTAAAACTTATTATAGATTATGCTGTTGCGATATCATTAGAACAACGAGATTTAATTATAAATGTAAATATGGAATGTAAATTTATAAACTATGCAAATCAATTAATAGCAGAATCTATGTAACAAACCTTACACGTCATTATTAATTCATCTATAAATTAGTAACATCATTATGATAAATAGTTGCATTTCCAACAGGCTTTGTTTACAACACGTATGTATACATACCTCACTTAATATTGGCAATCTTATATTCCTTTATACGAGTATACTGATTACATTCGCAAATCCTTTGAAAATTTCAAATTACAGTCAATTATTGCTTTTTTATTGCACTTTCTCTCACACTTAAGTATGTTAAACAATTCAGAACTACTCATAACTACACAATATTATGTATGGAACTCCTCTAGGTGCTGAATAATTGACCGTGACTAAAATGTGCCATTAAGTACAACACCTAAAGCTTATAGATTTGCTATTTTTCCTTGTACTCATTTACTAATATAGCCGTAATTATCATCAAGCCATAAAAGCTTCGTAAAGGTCCTACCTCTACTATGTAACAATGCTTGAATGGTTTATAATACTACATTTTTATAATATTCATTATAATATTGACATCTTTCTCTTATAGCTATTAATAATAAACAATCCTCAAAATACCTAATAACTAAATAAGACAGCGTGAAGCTGTATAATCACATTTCATTAACAAATTGAAATAAATAAAAATAGCTCTTCCAAAATTATAATACACTAGACAGATTGAGCTATCGCCTAAACTTACAACCCCGGGATTTCTGTGACCATGTCATAATGGACAGAAACAAGAGATAGTGCCTACATCTACGGACTGGACAATATTTACAAAAATTCGCTATACAGAAACTTCGTTGGTAAACATTTTACAAAGTGATATGACATGGTCATGAGAGCCGCATACCACCGAGCCCCTTTTGTGTACAAGCTGTGTAAAGTAGGTATAAAGGGTGTTAGAATAGCTCACGGACCGGTAAAACCATCCAGCTACGAAAATAGGATGCTTAAAACCATATAACACACAGATAGTAGATATGTTTTGTTTGTTGTCACACGGCATCCTATTTTTGTAAGAGTGAATAAGTCAACATATTTTTTTATTAACAGCAATCTTGGTATCTCCATGTAAATAACTTTGTAAAATATGCGCAGTAGCTTAAAAAATATATTGCGTAAAGGTCAAAAGCGATATAGATTTTAAAAGGATTTAGAATTTTCCCATGTCTACAAATGAATCGTACTGTAAGTCGGAACCATCACACACCGCTTGATCTTCACCTGGTGCCGTCGATGTACTGGGCAAAGGTTTTAAATTTTGTATTTGTGTGTGATCCGCGTCGCAAACAGCGGTATTGTCTGAGCTGTCACTATTACTGTCAATGTATTCGTACAACCTGTGTTTACTCTCGTCAGTAATAAAGATGTCGGACAATTCGAAAGTGGGAAGCACAGTAGGTTCTTTGTTAATATCGATGACGTCACACGATTGAGAAAGCAAAGCATCCTCGTATGACAAAAGCACAGGCTCAAAATGAGATGAACTGGCTTCCTCTGTGAAGCGGCCTGAGTCGCCTATTTCTGACGTGTTTAATGATGATGACGTATCGTCGTTCGGTAACGTGGTTTCGCTCGGTGCCTGGGTGCTATCGTCTAGCAAACTTTGAGGCGTTACTATTTGTGGAATTTCCTGACTTACGGCATCGTCCTTGGTCACAGAATTCGCGTCATCGTTCGTTGTCGACACAAATCGCGGATAATCTTTTGTCAGAGAAATTGAATTATCGTCTGATAAATCACCATCTGCGTTCAAAGTGACCGAATCCTCATTGCAGTCTTTTTCAACCTGCAAATGTTCGATATCGTCGATACACTTAGTACTATCATCGCTGCTATCGGAAACGATCAACTCAATACTGCGATCAAGTATACCCGTGTCCGTACAAGTAGACATTTCATCCTCAAATACAATTTCAACGCTGCGGATTCTCATAAGAGGCATTTTGGCTGGGGAGACTTCGTTCCCTTTAGCGGTTCTGATTTTTATGTCACCTAGAGGTTCGGTGCATTCGCTGATATCATCGTAATCAATTTCGTAGCTGCGGAGGTCGGACGTGCATGGGGTGCATTCCGTTGCCTTAGGTTGGGGAGACTGTGGGGGTTTAAACGATGAGGTATGAACGTGTGTGGATCCATTTGTATGTATATGAGAGTGATCGGGTGCGTGTGGAGACGAGGGCGTGCATGTGGTATGCGCGGACAATCCCTAAGGTTGCAGCGACTCTTATTGTATGGTGGTGCCGAGGTCCAATCCACCCTCCTCCTGCATCTTGGTGAGGAACTTGAATACTCTGGATTCTTCATCTGTCTGTTTCACCATGTCCACCAGCGCTAGAAGTTTCTTGATGCCGATGAAGATTCTGAAAATAAAGAGAAGATGAAAATGTTTTGTACACAAAGATCGACAACACATTAAGCAAAGACAATCCACTGCGTTCTGATTTTGAAAGGTAATGGTGCTGGTGAAATTACTGGCAAAACCCCTTATAACAGACGAACGGTGTCTATCAACTTATCTGACTAATGAATCAGATATACACAACGTTTGGTAAGTAGCGACCAGGGGGCCTACTATGAGCTATAAGAGCAATCCTATTTATTAAGCCTGTAAGTTGGAATGCCTGTCAAATTCGTACTATGACCTCACAAAAACAATTCACTGTCCATGCAGTTTACGTTCCCCATTCGAAATCCGTTCACCTTTTCTTTCTTAGCAATATCGTACCATGACGTGCCTTATGGCAAATGGCATCTCATCTCTCATCTGTAAAAATAAGCAATTCAAAAAGTTACTTCGTGAGTAACTTTTTTTAGATTTTGTTACATTTTCAGTTTCATAATTATTTGTTATCTTTATAGGCTCTATAGCCAATTGTCAATAAATAAATACTATTAATTATTGAGCGTTTTTTTCTCTTCATCTTTAAAGTATTGTTGATAAATTATTGGCATTAATGTTATTGCAATTTTTAAATGGAATTTTAATCATTTTAATAATTTTATTGACCGAAAATCGTTAAATAACTTTTATACAGTGCCAAATTTGACTTTAATGCAATCAATGAAAATGTACGAATACAAGATACGTTCCAAGATTACCACGGTATGACTTCTTTTTATTTTCCCGATATTTCGGAACGGTTGCACGCTCCATGGTCACGGGTTGAGTCAACCTGTGACCATGGAGCGTGCAACCGTTCCATACCGTGGTAAGAAACCTGATACTAATGATAATCATTTAGTGAATAACCACGAGTCTTAAAATCTATATACGTTCCAATTATGTTATAAATTACAAACTCATCTTATTAATTTCAATGATAATGACTAGACATGACATGTAATTTTGTCGTACGACAAATTGTAATGTATGATTGAAAAGTAGCCGATATTACAAAACAACGCAGTAAGTATCCTTAATAATAAAATTTAATAAAAATACATAATTACTCTCATTTTGAACACAATTGGTGAATAGAGCTTGAACGCTCCCAGGATACTACGGACAACAGCACATCAGACTACACATTTTTGTTCGAAAATCGCCTCCAGTGCAACGGAACAAGATACGTCAATGAATAGCTTGATGTGCTGTTGACTGTACATCTGTCTACTTCTTTCATATGATTTAGTATGTAGTTCCATCTCGCTCTTATTAGATGTGAGCTGTCCCGCCAGAGACAATAATTAACGTTTAAAAAGTAAAACTCATGTTAAAACTTGGTACGTGGTAAATGAAAACGCAGGCTGTGGTTTGTATGTTTCGTGTTGAGATGAAGGATAAGAGAGTGAGCAAGTTTTACAATTTTACTTATATACTAGAGCAAGGAGCCCTCTGGCGCCCTGGATATACAATATAATCGATTATTCGACTAGCGCCATCTAGCGAGCGGCCACAGAACTGGGTGGTTTGTCTAGTTTACTAGGCAACTGACGTAAGACACCGCGATACAGTGCCGCGGCGTAGTGTTAGCAGACACTCACTAGGTGGCGATGCTAACAACTCATCATCCTGTCATGACATTCCCGCTCAACTTTGTGTAGGTCATGATACGAATTTAAGCAATTCTGGTATTTACCACGTCAAGTGAATTGCATGGAACTTGGCTGGCTGCTTATGAGCTCATAGTAGGCCCCCAGGTACGTGAGGCGTAAACACTACTGCGACAGCACGTAAAAAAATGCAAATCGTATTTATAATGGCTCCCTGTACAATTAGATATTACACAAACAAGTCAAACTTTAAGTTTGCAGAAAGCTGGGCTTTCATTTCACCTGTAAATAATTATTATACTTTTATTTTACTTATATTTTGTTGCTAACTTTTAAACAGTATTTCATCATTCACTGGTCGTTTTTTGTAGAAGAAAACACGTCGATTATAGTTGCATCCCTTTTTTTTCACCCCCTCCAATAACTCAGTCTCTTTTTTCATTTCCTTCAAGCGTGTAGCTAGTGATGTGCCGATTTAAATTAACACTTGTATCGATTATGTTGTTTTAATGAGTAAAAGACTACTTACTGTTCTACTGGCAAGCAATCGACTCTTGTATCATTTCATCAAATAACCCATTTATTATCATTTCGACAAGTTACATAATAAATTTTGTTCACTTTGAGATGCTCTTTTATTTAGTACAGACAGTTTGGTACTAGGCACTACTATGAAGTCAATATTATCTATTGTCCTTTTTTAAACTAGACAATATGTTCCTTTTTTTTTTTTTTTTTTTTTTTTATAAAAAATTTCCTACCAGTTCCTATCAGTTCCTAACAGCACAATCAAATCAAAATGAAAATAGGAAGTAATTAAGAACAATGTTTTATACCAACAAGTTTGCCAATTTAGTCGGTATAAAATATTATCTTCTTATTAATTTAATGTGTAAATAAATTATGTTACGTGTAGATAATGCCACTATATCTTTATTATAATATAATCTTTAAAGAAATAATTAAAATATAATCAATTTTTATAATTAATTAATTCCATTTCGTCGATAAACGTAATACAAAATGTACACTGTCCCATTCCTATGACCTTGATTGCGCCAATGAGAACGAAGCATCCCGCTTCACCCTACCTCAAGTGGTTGATTCTAATTCTTGAAAGTATATTATAAATAGTCACGCACACGATTATCGAGTACGTACGTTTGTAGTACTAGTCTACATCTATAACTAGTGCAGACTATTTATGAATCTATCACTAATATGTCTGTGGTTCTAGTAAAAAGTCAAAAACCTCACTTTACAAGGAGACGCGAAAAACAGTTAAAGCTTAATATGATATTAAGCGTTAAGTGTTTTTCGCGTTTCATTGCAAAATTAGCCTTTTCACTCTCTCGATCTAACTCTAATATTATTAGAGTGTACAATTACTACGCGACTCATTCGTTTATATGTCGTGAAAGAACTTGGCGTTCAAATATACACTAGACATTATTTTGATAACATTCAACCTTATCGACGTTGACAAACGGATTTGTAATTTACATTATGATTGAACCTTAGGCGTGGCAACAGGATTAAAGAAAAGTGGACGAGAAAGTCCCGCGCTAAAGATCACGTCCTGCCAACAAGTCAAAAGGTTTTTGCAACTCGCGAATAGAATATCGCCTGCAGAGGCACAGGATGCGGCGTGACAAATTTAATTGGAGACACAAAGCTATATCGTCGGTGTTTTGTAGAAGGGCGAAAGCGTCATTTCGAAAAAAATCAGTGGAGCATGTTTTATGTTTTAACGACAGTTTTAAAATATTTACGTCCTGTTTTAAAATTCAATTTTGGTTTTAATTAAGTTTTTAAATTAAAATTGAAAACATAACGAAAATATTTTAAAACATTCGTGAAAAACGACAACTTGCTGTTTGGTTTTTTTTTCTAAATGGCGCTTTCGCCCTTTCTACAAAACACCGGCGATATATAAATGTAGCTAGGAGGATTAAACTGTGGAACAAAAACGACTGATGCTGTTATGTAGGACCTAGGATATTGATTAACAAAATAAAAATATTGTGTAAGTGAAATCAAATGTATGTTCTTTAGATTGAAACTAAAATTTATCTGAAAACAATAACTAAAAATGCAATTTCATTGAAGAATCATTGAATAAAATATTTTTTACTTAAGTCCGATACACTGACGGTTAAGAATCATTGAATAAAATATTTTTTTACTTAAGTCCGATACACTGACGGTTCCTACATATTCTACTTACTTGGCACCACGCAGGTCGTTCTGTATCTTGGCGAGGTCACGTCTCGAGAAGGCGTCACTCTCCTCCAGTACGGCCATCACGTGTTCCGGAGAGGATAGGTTGGGTACGTGGAGCACGCCCGTGAACGCAGACAGGATCTCCATGTCTTCTAGCACTTGTCTATAGATAGTGAACATTTGTTCAAGTAACATAATTGCAACTGTAGCATAGCGTTATATCGCATGCGATATATGATAAACCTCCCCGTGACATATAAATCGCAGTTGGTAAAGCTATGTTGCCATGATTATTTTTTTTATGCGAAACTTAAGGTTTTTGCAGTTACAGTTTTTATTTAAATTACATCTTTAGTTTAAATATAATGAATAGTTTAATCGTGGCGGCATGCAACGGGGCCAGGAGTGTTGCGAAAAGTACAGCATATTTGTATACCAAGCGAGCATATTGGACACAATTACGCCCTTTAAGACAAAATTGGTGCTTTTTGGGTTGGGTGGGTTTTAGTAGCCCAGAAGTGAATTCCGCTGCTGTGGTGCTCATATGGAATTCCCTAGTTCAGTGGCGGATTTGCCCTAAGGCCACCGTAGACCCGAGCCTAAGACGCCCCGATTTTAGGGGCGGCCAATCGTGACAAAAAATTCACTGATGATATTATATGTATGTATGTATGCATATTATGGTGGGCCGCACTGCACCGCCTCGTATAAAAATATTCTTCCTAAATAACTTTCGTGCATTTTATTTATAAAATATAGACATGTCTACCAGTAGCTATATGAGTGCTGAGAAAGGGGTGGCTGGTACTGACTACATGGCCTGGGGCCTAGGGCCGCCAAGACTGCAAATCCGCCACTGCCCTAGTTTGAGATTAGTAATCGGTATGGCTGTGTAGCACATTATTATTATTAATGATTATATTTATATGTAATACGTACCTTCGACTGCTAGTGCACAGAATGAGAAGTTTTCGTCCCTTAGGCGGTTGTTTCTTGAGCAACACGAGTAGCGCTTGCAATGTCAAGTTGGAATAACGTGGTCCGATCGGACCATAGTCCAGGAGACGCTCAATGTTGTCCACTAGGATACATGACAGGCTTGAACGATAAGCGTCGTCGAAGTACTGAAAATTATGAGTATATAAAAATATACAAATTTATGTGATTCATATGTTTATCTTACTCATGGTAGCAGTTACCTTTTCACAGTTGAAATATACTACGTACGTAGTTCTTGTACAATTAGATAACGCCTCAAAATATTCGATGACTTTACGTATGGCAAATGAGCCTATTTAAAATGTTGTGAGCGCCATCTTTTGGTGATAACACAAATTAACACATGCCTTACAGAATAACGTGCACAAAAATCAATATGAAACTACAAGCGTAAGATGCTGGAAACTTTTCTGGTTGCCGCTGCGAACGTGTATTGATTCCTAAAGTCTGTGGGATAATGTGAATCATATTATTTCTTACTGAAATTGTTACGTGAGTTTGATACGGTAATAAAAATAAGTAAAGGGTAATTCGAAAAACACAGAATACCGATTCTTCGGTCACTGATACATTTCATTGACAAGAATGGAAGAGATAATACATACGCGAATGATAGGGCCATTCCATACAGTATGTTAGCAATGCTTACTTTTCTGATCTGCAAACACTTCGCGGACTCTGTGAAACCGATCATGTCTTCAGGGGAACACACTTTCACGAAGGGGAAGTCTGACAACTTGGCAAGTTGCGCTGCTAATGCTGTTTTGCCGCTGTTCGGTGGACCTTCGAGGAGGACCGACACTAGCCCTAAGTCAGAGAAAGTTGTTATTTACAGGATTTTAACCATAATCGTGTTTTTTAGAAATTGCTTCGGTAATGCTATATTCTTTACAACCGGCAAGAAGTAGTATAATTTGACACATATTTGCTGAACAAAGCTTTTTGTTGGTAACTGTATTGGAATAGTTGTTATAACAGTCAAATATTGTTTAAAGACGGTCAAAAACGTTTACTTACCACTGGCCTCAGTAGCTCTAGCCTGTTGAATGTACAGCTGTCCATCTTCCAAGAGAGAAGTCACTGGAGCACCCCAGTTGATTACTCCTCGAGCCAGGAAATGTTCCAATGCCTCTGCTGCTGTACCAAACGCCTGAAGAAAATGACTTAAATTATTGCAACGTATCGTAATTATTGAAAGCGAGATTGGGGAAGACAGAAAATAAACCACATACACTGACAAAAGTGAATATGGAGTCCAGAATCATACAATTCATTACTTAAAAGTTCAAACCACTCAATCCATACTTGGATCCCATAAATCTCCGTGAAGAGCTGTGATCGCTACTGCGATGGTACAATACAAATATTATAATAAAAATCAAATAATTCCAGTTTATCAACATCTCCTTCGACCGTAAACCTGTATTCGCAGTTCCATAGTTTGACTTACTGGCTTGATATCATATTCCAGGGCATGCAAGAAGTCCCCACGTTCAACCATGAGCTTTTCCATAGCTTCAGGGTCCACCTCGACCTTGCTGGAAGCCTTGATAAGTCTGTTCATGGCGGTGGACTGTGCAGCGCGGACTAAACCTTCCAGCTCGGCGCCGGAGAAGTTCTTAGTAAGGGATGCAAGTTCCTGGCAAAAAAAAATTCGAAAATGTATAAATGTCACTTATTTATGTACTTCTATCTCTATCGTTAAAAAAAGTATAGTTAAAGTTTTACAGTTTTTCATCATCGTCATCATATCAGCCGCCGGAAGACATTCCTGGTGAACATAGGCCTCTATATACATATATTTCTTTGTTTCATTAATCAAATTTAGTTTCTATTTGATTTCATTAATTTGTTGATTGTGATCTAATTATTGTAAAAATTGATACCGGTTTTTGCCGAAAAAAAGTTTGTAAATCTATTTACACGTTTCATTATTATCGGTACACATTGTTCATACGAAAACACAATTATTTTAAATTGATTATTATTTGACGAAAGTTCGAAGCGATCGTGATCGTGATTTTTTCATTTGGTGGTCTGGTTTGCAAGTTTGCAAGACAAAGTTTGCAAGAAAAAGCAACAAAGTTTGCAAGAGTTTATAGCGAAAAGCTGTCCTCTGAGGCTGGTATCGTTTATGAAAATAAACGGAACTGACTTTACCACTCAATGCTGTAATAGTAGACTTATCCACTTTAATTTGCTTTTATTGAAATTGGAATGCTAAATTTACAGATTACGTTATCTAGCTTCATAGTTATTTACAGTTACAATTAATGAACAGATTATCAACGATCGTGTAATTGCTATTCATTTATCCTATTACTGTCCTCTTTAATCAATAAATCAATTTATTTAGCATACTAATTGTGAATTTTTGTCGGTTTTAAAAATCCGATATCCGACCAGATAGTAAAATTAGGCCGGATAGGCCGGATACCGGATAGTTACCGGATATCCGTTTCATCTCTTAACAATTTTTTTTCGGAATTTATTACATAATTTAGAACTCCTTCCTAAGCAAATGACGTTACTTTTTTTAATTAGTTTTTTTTAATTAAATTTTTATTGAATTGATATTCAATTATTTTTTGTGAAATTACTCCACTAGTTTGTTATAATTATTAATACAAATTTTTTCTGAGTGTTCGATCTTTGTATTAATAATTATAACAAACTAGTGGAGTAATTTCACAAAAAATAATTGAATATCAATTCAATAAAAATTTAATTAATACAGTGAATAGCGACATCTCTCGCCAGGACTGGTAGCTGTAAAGGTACTAACTGGGTGATAAATGTGTAATAGATTTCTCATAGATGGCGCTACGACTAAAAAGTCGTTGAAGGACCACAGTACAAAGACACGACGCAAGCACATAGAAAAATTCGTGAGGTCCGTTGGTTCGTTCCGTGGCTTAGTTGGTATAGCGTCTGGCACGGTATGCAAGAAGACGTCGGTTCGAATCCGACCGGATCGAAGGAATTTTTTCAGAGTGTTCGATCTTTGTATTAATAATTATAACAAACTATTTTTTTTTAATTAAAAAAAAAAGTTTTTACTTATAATCGTGGATTTACCAAGCCGTATAAATAAATGTATTGAGACGGGCGCAGTAGCAGTGTCCCTCAGATCTTTACGATTTAAAGCTCTGCATGGCACTGCAACTGCTATGGACAGGCGTATCGCTTACCACCAGGGGCACGATTTGTTCGTTCCGTCACTTGGAATAAAAAAGAATGCCACTCCTAAAGATGAATTTCTTTGGCATGGCGTCGACCAGTCAACAACACCCGAGGACGCCTCGTAGAGAGGCAAAACACGTGTCGGGTATATTTTTGGTGGTTTGGTGTTATTTATATGATTAATTTTAATCAGAGAGCGCATGGGAAAATTCACTGTAAAAAAACAATCGTAGCTATTTTGCGTGATTTAAACTTCAATGGTTCGCGTAGTACCAAATTAATTTACTTCCATTTTTATTAATTGTATAGTAAATGTCATTTAGTCTTCTGTAGAATAAAAATAGCACCAGATAATCGTTCTTTACTTCGAATTCCCTATACTTCGATTATCAAAGTTAAAGATAATACTCGGGGCAGTACTTATAACAACCAAAGGGCCATTTCCAAAATTAGTCTTACTAGAAATTTTAGTCGAGTCCCATTGTTTACCGTTCAGAAAGCTACCACTGCCACTAAGGTCGTTAGTAATACTAATGTGATGCCTTTGTTGTTCCTAAAATTATGTTTAAATGTAATTAAAAATAAATTGCCTCGCAAACGGCACTATACGTCAACTCAAAGGACGATGTGTAAAAATATTGAGTTTTATAACGGATTATATTATTATTTATTGAAATTTGAGTACATTGAAATTGAATTTGAAATTTATCATGAGCTTTTCGGTGAAGGAAAACATCGCGATGAAATCTTGCACGTTGAAGAAGGTTCACATCCCTCAGAAAACGTGTGAAGTCCCCAACCCGCATTGGGCCAGCGTGGCGGACTATGGCCTAAACCCTCGTTTGAAAGGAGACCCGTGCCCAGCAGTGGGACATATAAATGAGTTGATGATGATAATGATGATGAGTACATTGGCGACAAATTATTATTTCCTATAAAGTCTTTACTACAAATTAATGTCTCAAAAAAGAATATTGTAGTTGTTTCTGTAGGCACTAACGTATTTAAATAGTTTAGACATTTAAAAAATAAACATAGGACAACTTATAATAGGGGTTAAAGTATG